AGGTGCAACCTTATGCAATTTTTCATTATGATATTTTTGGGCATTTGAGTTATTTCATAGTAAAAATTTCAACTTCTATCAGAGCTGTTTTTCAGGGCACATGGTCGAGTGCTCTGAGGACCACAGTGCGGGGACCACTGGAGTGGACGTGCCTACCATTTTTAGCGTTGTTTCCAAGAGTTCATCCTCTGTCTTCCCGCGCAGGCAATGAACCATGTCTGCTGATGTCGTGGCCCGACACCCGGTAGCAATGGCAACTTGCTGCAGAGATCACACGTAACAGTGGAATTCAAGGCATTAGTTCTTCTCTTCATGAACAGAGACAGACGGGTCTCTCTCAAGCTGTGGGGGACGGCAGCAGAAAGCACTCTAGATCAGCAGGTGAAAGTTCTGGGTTGAGTGGTGTTGCCCCTGTTACCAGTTTGGATTGTGATACGAGTCATTTATACATTTGTATCTCAGTTGCCATATCTTTGATAAAATGGGTGTGATGATCTGAAAGTTGACTGTTTCAAAAATGACAGTGTGCATAATGGAATTCCAAATTCCACTTTTGGGTTTTCATTGTTAAAAAGAGTTGTAAAGCAAAAGTACTCATTTTTTTTCTCTTTTTTTGTCTTTATTATTTATTTGTATTTTTTATGTATATGAGTATATTCCATGCATGCATGTAAGTGCATCCATGTTGTGCAATGCCCATGGAGGTCAGAAGAGGGTGTTGTGCCATGTGGGTACTGGGAATTGAACCCAGGTCCTCTGCAAGTTCAGTGCTTTAAACTGCTGAGCCATCTCTCCAGCCCCTTTTAAAAAATTGAATTCTTGTGTATTTAATACAAAACATCTGTATTATCTTTATACCCCCTCCCCCATCTGCAACCTCCTATAGCACCCCTCGCCTCCACTGGATTTCATGTGTTCTGTCATTTATATTAAGGCCTATCAAGTCAAGTTAGTGTACTGGGACATTCCTCGGTGCAAGTTCATTTACTGGTGTCTAGTCAGCCTATCCAAAGTCACTCTGTTAAAGAGTGACTCTCCCCTCACTTTTTCTTGATCACAGAAGAACACTACCACTCTTTGGATTCAACGGGCAGTTTCTAATCTTAAATCCAGTGTGGCATTCATGTGGGCTGGAAGCAAACTTTGGCCTGAGGAGCCGCAGGTGAATAAAGACAGGCTGTAACAGCGGGTCCATGACAAGTTTGCATGGGCTCCCCAGACCCTGATGCAGGCCTTAGTGTGCAGAGCTCAGCATGAGCTGCCTTGGTGACCTACCTCAGCCCCACGTCTGGTACTCTTCCTGAACAGACACGGAGTAAGGGCCACACCACTCTCAGAAATGGCTCTACGGAAGAGATTCTTGGCTAGGGGAGATAAAACCTGAGAACATACAAAACATCTGGATTATCTTTATACCCCCTCCCCCATCTGCAACCTCCTATAGCACCCCTCACCTCCACTGGATTTCATGCATTCTGTCATTTATATTAAGGCCTATCGAGTCAAGTTAGTGTACTGGGACATTCCTCGGTGCAAGTTCATTTACTGGTGTCTAGTCAGCCTATCCAAAGTCACTCTGTTAAAGAGTGACTCTCCCCTCACTTTTTCTTGATCACAGAAGAACACTACCACTCTTTGGATTCAACGGGTGATTTCTAATCTTAAAGCCAGTGTGGCATTCATGTGGGCTGGAAGCAAACTTTGGCCTGAGGAGTCGCAGGTAAGTAAAGTCGGGCTGTAAGAGCGGGTCCATGACAAGTTTGCACGGGCTCCCCAGACCCTGATGCAGGCCTTAGTGTGGAGAGCTCAGCATGAGCTGCCTTGGTGACCTACCTCAGCCCCACGTCTGTACTTCTCCTGAACAGACACGGAGTAAGGGCCACACCACTCTCAGAAATGGCTCTACGGAAGAGATTCTTGGCTAGGGGAGATAAAACCTGAGAAGCAGAGAAGAGTTTATGCTTCAGGAGATAGGCACTGACTAACTTGTCCTGTAAGGCTCCTTTCATCTGCATCCTTGCCTGGTCATTTACCTAGAGACTCACCTGCCTCCGCTTGCTCCTTAGATTCCCTCAGATCCAAGGATAGAACAGAATATGTATGGTATGCACCTATTCTGATAATAAAAACATTGGAGAGACATCTTTTACAATTCCTTACCACAAACTCTGTTTCAGCATCTCTAACTGTGCTGGTTAGTTTTTGTCAACTTGACTCAAACTGGAGACACCTGGGAAGAAGGAACTGCAATTGAGGAATTTCCTTCATTGGTTTGGCCTGTGGCCATGTCTGGCTTTTACAGTTCCTTACCACAAACTCTGTTTCAGCATCTCTAACTGTGCTGGTTAGTTTTGTCAACTTGACTCAAACTGGAGACACCTTGGAAGAGGGAACTGCAATTGAGGAATTTCCTTCATTGGTTTGGCCTGTGGCCATGTCTGTAAATCATTTTCTTTATTGGTAATTAATGTAGGAAGGCCCAGCCTACTGTGGGTGGTGCCATCTCTGCGCAAATGACACTGGGCAGTGTTAGGAGAGTAACTGAGCAAACCAGGGGAAGCATGCCAGTAAGTAGCATTCCTCCACCGTCTCTGCTTCACTTCCTGCCTCCGGGTTCCTGCCTTGAGTTCCTGTCCGAGTTCCCTCAAAGATTGACAGTGCCTAGGAAGTGTAAGGTGGTTGGAGGGGTCCCTTATGCTCCCAGCAGTCTCTATAGCTTCCCCCAGGGTCCCCATCTCTATAACAAGAGCTCTCACCCTGGGAAGTGTAAGATGAAATAAATCCTTTCCTCCCAAGTTGATTTTTTTCAGTGTTTTATCACAGCAACAGAGAAGTAAACTAGGACAAATACTCAGAAAGTACCCTAGGAAAATGACCATAAAACGCTCTAAGAAAACACATGATATGCATTACTGTGAAAATAAGAAATAATATTAGGTTCTAACACTATAACATTGGGTAATAAACATTGTTTTATGATTACCATGGAATATTATGCAGTTATAAAAGAAATTATTAAGAAAGAATGCTTAACATTTAGGGGGTTATTTATGACAATATGATCTTGAGGTAAGTTTTTTTCTTAAAAATATAGATGATTCATAGAAGAGAGATGATAAACAGAGGTGGGGGAGAGAGAAAGCTATGACAGTGAGAGCAGAGAAACACGCATTAAAACCCCACAGTGATAGCCCTCGGTCGTATGATCAGGAATGACCCCTTTCTTCTTTGGTGTTATCCATATTTTACTTTTCTGATCTACTTTAAAATACCATCCTGTGCATATTCAACTATGAAACATACATATGTTTAGAAGACGCAGTCACAGGCCGGAATGATGTTCTGACCAAATCTGAGGTGGTTGGAGGGGTCCCTTATGCTCCCAGCACTCTCTATAGCTTCCCCCAGGGTCCCCATCTCTATAACAAGAGCTCTCACCCTTGAAGGTTGTATCTGCGACCCACTTCCCCTTTCCCACTTCTCTCTGTTATACTTTCCATTCGCTTTCTCTTTCTCCCTGGCTTCCCCACAGTGCAGCGTCCCTTAGCCCCAGAGACTGCTGCCCACCATCTTGGGCATGGACAAGTCATAGACAATCTCAGAGGAACCTGATGCCTGCTTACACTCTCTCATGTATAGATTTGGTTTTTAGCCAAACAATGACATTCTATTCAATCCTTAGCAACTATTTATTTCATAATTCATACCTGTACCCAAGTGAGCTAAGTCCCAGTGGATTAAGGAGAGAGAGAACTCAGTCACATGTGAAGAGTAGGAACGTCAGGGTCGGAGGATGAACTGGACATTCTTATGGTCCAGAACCTAAAGCTCAGGTTCTGAGCTTCCTGAAAGCCAGAAAAATTTTGGTCTTCAGCACTCCATCATCTGATGCTGAGCAAAGAGAAGACCCTAAATCCAGGTCTTGTAAACAAAATTGCCAGTGAATGGATTGGCTATTCCCTAAGAGGTCCCTTTAAAAGCCACATCAAGCTGGGCGTGGTGGCGCACGCCTTTAATCCCAGCACTTGGGAGGCAGAGGCAGGTGGATCTCTGTGAGTTCAAGGCCAGCCTGGTCTACATAGTGAGTTCCAGGACAGCTGGGGCTACACGGAGAACCTGTCTCAAAAAGACTGAAAAAAAAAAAAGCCACATCAAGCCTGCACATTGGGCCTGGCACCAAGAACACTTACAAGAACAGAGACAGTTTCACCTCCTGCTGACTCTCCAAAGAGAGTCACAGAGTCTGGGTCCCCTCCAAAGCTGGCAATGTTGTCTTGGACCCATTGTAGTGCAGCCACTTGGTCCAAGTGACCCCAGTTCCCTCCGCAGTGCTCATCCCCTGTGCTGTAAGAGAACAGAATGGGAGTAGGTGTCAGAGGCAGTGTATCTAGACTCTCAGGACCTCACATGGACTGGGGGCTGGTTATGTCTTGAGTGTGGATTGTCCCTCTGGAGTTCATGTGTTAAAAGCTCCATCTCCAATGAAGCAATGTTGGAAGGTAGTAGAACCTTTAAAAGGTGGAGCCTAGTGCCGGGTGATTCAGATACTGAAATCAAATCATTCATTCGAACGAATGCAGTTATAGTAGCATTGTGTTAGTTCCTATGAGAAAGTTCTACAAAAAACATGCCTGGCCCCTCCCAGCTATTTGGCTTCCCTGCCTGCCTCCTCATGTGATCTCTCCCACCCCTGTATGTGCTCCAGCCACGATTCTCTCTGACATGATGTGATGCTACCTGGAGGCCTTTGCCACAGCTGTCACCATGTTACTTGGACTTTCAGACTTTGAAATTGTGTGATAAATAAACCTCATTTTAAAAAGAATCTTAAATTTGTTTTATTTTTAATTAGGTGTATGTGTGTGGGTCTGTTGTGTATGGGTTTATGCATACCCAATGTGGATACTGAGAATCGAACTGAACTTGGGTCCCCTGAACAGTACTATCTACTCTTAACTACTAAGCCATCTCTCTACCCACAAACTCAGTTTTTTTTACAAAGTACTTAAACCTCAGGTATTTTTTTCATAGTAATTGAAAATGGCCTAATACAGAAAATTGGTACCAAAAGGTGTGGTTGTTTGAAAAGTGAATGTTTAGAGAGAGGCTAGAGAATTTGAAGGAGAAAGCCAGTGAAAGCCTAAAGTCTGTAAGTGGAGTGTTTACATATGGTTCTGCTGGGGGTTTGGATGACAAGGACATTAAGGGTAGTCTCAAATAGAAATGAACTGTGGTTGGAATAAAGACAGTTCATCATGGTAGAGAACGTGGATAAACCAAGCCATGCTCCAAGGCTTGATGGAAGGCTAAATTTAATAATGATGGAGCAGTTAACATGATGGAAACAATTTCTAGACAGCAAAGCATCCAGCTGTAGTGTGGCTGTTAATGGCTACGGTGAGGCTGAAGAGTAAACTGAAGTAAAACAGAAATATGTGAAAATTTAGCACTTTAATTTGCAATAAAAGAGAAAGCACTTAGGGGTGGGGCCAGGAGACCTCTCTGGAGACTGGCAGGATGCTGATCATCAGGATAACTAGAAAAATATTTGATGTCATTCATCACAGACACAAAGGCCTTCCAGGACTTGATGGCTTCAAGGGAAGAGCCCAGGACCTCTCCTTCTAGATTCTGCTTCTAGTTAGCAACATCTCTAGTCATAAGAACCACAGACCCACTTGTAAAGAAGGTATGAGCCCTCTAGGAGGCATAACACAATTTAATCTATGTCTAGGGTAGACACATTAAAGAAACGAGAGAGAGAGAGAGAGAGAGAGAGAGAGAGAGAGAGAGAGAGAGAATAGTCACCACAGTAATGTAGGAGAGAGACATGGGGCTTTTTTACCAGTAGAAACAAGGAATAATTGCGTACTTGGGCTCCGAACATATTTGAAAGGTACAGCAAAGAATGCCTTCCTTCCCCGGCTGAATATGTGGTATAAGATACAGAAGAATAAAGACTGTTTACAAGGCCTTTATCCTGAGCAACCAAGATGATGGAGTTGAGGATAGCAGTGCAGGGGGCATTATGGGTAAAGGAAGAGAGTTGTTTTTGTTGTTGTTGCTTAGGCAGTGAGTCAACAGGGGTTCAGTCTCTGTGAGGTGGGAGGTGCTCTGAAGATACCCAGGTAAGTAGGAGGACATAGTTAAAGATGGCATGTGAGGGTCAAAGGAGAGGTGAGGGCTGCCAAGATCACACAGAGAATTAGTGGACAGGGAAAGGGAGACACACAGAGGCCAGAGGATGGGGAGAGGAAGGGGCAAGTTCAAGGGCAAGGAAGGCCTGAGAATGACCAGTCAGAGAGGTGGAAGGTGCTCAGGGGCCAGGATAAAGAAGCATTTCAGAGATGTAAGTGGTCATCTGTGGCTGTCACTGGGGTTGGAAAGTTGTTCCAGGAAGGGCAGAGGCCACTGGTAGCTACAGCAATTGCCACAGACTACCAGGCATGAGGGGAGGAGAGACAGAGAGAGAGGAAGGAAGGAGACAACCTGTGGTAGGTTTACCGGATACAAAGCAGAAAATCAGAATCTGGGTGAAAGAAATATAGTACCTTCTGAGGGTGACACACTCCTGGGGCATGCCTGGCCTAGGGCAATCTACTGAGAGGCAGATCTGAACATACCTCTAGCCCAATGGTCTTCCCAGTGGTGTTTGGAGTTCAGCTCCAGACCACTTATCAACTATCTCAGGGAAGGACATTCTGGGTTGGGCGCGCTCAGCTCTGTACAGTGCAGAAAACCTTGTCCTGCCCTCATAGAAGCTTAATGACGAAGGTTCTAGCCTTGATTTCTGGATGTGCCAGATGCCAAGGAGGCAATCAGCTGACTGACCCTAACATTCTCCAGGGAACAAAGTTTGCTAGGGTGAGATCTTCCGACAATGTCCATCCCCAGCCACTCATTCCTTCACACACAAGCATTCAGAGCTCCCTTATTCCCTCTGGAATGTTCCCATGTGCAGCGTGGAACTACCATGCTACATAGTTACTGCTGTAAGGAACGTGGTATGTAGGACAGCGCAGGTGAAAAAGAGACATGTGTTTCAGAGGTGGTAAAATGAAGGCTGGACCTTGAAGGACGAACAGGAGTTTTACAGGTGAAATAGGCCTTCTAAGAAGGAGAACACCATACACAAAAGCCCAGAAGGAAGTAGACAAGTGTGGCTCAGGAATAAAGGGACAGGTGTGGTCCAAACCAAAAACACAGAGATGCTTTGAGAAACTCATTAAAAGCCCCTTTGAGGATGAGGTAACCGGAGTTGGGTCCTAATGTCCTGACAAGGGGTCCTAATGTTGAGTGAAAAAGATTCAAAGTCCTTACCTGAGAAAACCCCAGATGCCCAGGCGGTACTGAATGGTCACCACCACCACATTTTCTTGAGTAGACAGGGCTAGTCCATCAAAAGTTGATGCCCCTCCAGACAGCAAACCACCTCCGTGGATCCACACCATTACCTGGGCAGGGGGGAAGCAGCCACGAAGGTTATAAGAAGTGGGAAAGGAATGACATAGGGCTATTTGGTCTGGTTTATTCATCTAACTTTCTTGGCTGTTACTAAGGAAGCCATTACTAGTGCCTAGCAGGGTTGCAAAAAGCCATCTGTCTTCTTCCAATTTCCCCAGGTGGGACCCAGACCACATCCCACTCATTGCAGCCTGGTTACGCCTATACTGTTCTCCCCAGCTTCAAGGACTGTGTCTTTCCACAGCTATTTAGACTGAGAACATCATGATGGGATGCACAAAGGCCAAGGGTGTCATTCTCCCAAATACTCCATCTTTACATGCGGGGACCATTTAAACAGCTGAATATTAAATATCATGCTAATTGGTGCTTCTACTTCAGCTCTCCTGTTAGTGAAACATCATCTCAAAATGCACACAGGTCCTCAGTGGTCCCCCTTCCTAAAACATCTCCCCTTTGCCTCCTCAAATTCTCCCCATCTCCTAAGCCCAGCTACCACCCACCTCTTCTAGGAAGTCTTCAGACATCTGACTTCACTGAGAACTACTGCCCACTAGGCACTGTTATATGAACCGAGCAAGTGGTAAGGAGAGGCTGTAACAATTTCTGATTCATGGCTTTTGGATTAAAAGAGCTCACATTTTTAAGGGGGAATTGAAGATATAAAATATAACATTGCTAATATAATATAAAAGAACCCATGAACTGTGAATTACTGCTCTGTGTTTAAAAATAACCATGATCTAAGTACTAATATTGTCCCATGTGACAGACAGAAAAGTTGAGGCATCTCTGAGGTATCACAGCTCAAAGACGTGGGGGTAGGACTTGACCCAGAGCCTGGTCCCAGTGCCTTCACACTGAACTTCCAACTCTTCAGCCTACAGGCACCCTCTGTGAGTAGGAAATAGGGATATTGGGGCTACTGAGGCAGGAGTCAGACTTTTCTGCAGTTGCTGCTATGTATGTGCTCATCCAGAACTAAGGTACACTTATCACCCCTCACATGTGAAAATTCCACTTGAGTAAACAAAGGCCAAGAAAGTAAGAAATGGCCCTAGTCTCTCATCTTCTCAAAGAAAGACCCAGGATTTAAACACAGACCCTGTAGCTCTAGGACCTGTGTCCATAGCTGGGGGGCAGAGGGGAGGCCTCTTGCCTCAATGCTTTTAGAGATTCTATTTCTCCTCCTCCTGGGTTCCTTGCTACCTCCAGGGAGGAACCGAGTCAAGGTCATCTCAGAGTGAAGACTGAACCCAGGGGCTGGTGGGCAGTGAGTGACACACTGAAGAGGCTATTACATGATGTCTCTTGCCCCAAGGGTCACTTTCTCCAGAAGACCTGTCTCTATCCTGTGACCTGTAACTATCAACCTCTTCCATCTCCCGGCCTCCATTTATCAGGAAATGCTGACTCACTGGGTCATCAGCCTGTGCCAAAGGCAACTAAGGAAAGAAACAAACTACAATAAAATCCCCAGTGTTTGGGCAAAGGCAAAGGAAAGTGCTTCTGGGATTGTCCTAGTCTGCATCCCACACACTTTAGTCATGGGACTGTGAAAGTTTCCACAGATGGATCTTGGTGCACTTGGGAGGCTACTTGTTTGTTTCCTAGTCCGTGTTTAAATGCTAGTTTGAAGACAAGAGGATACGAGTTCTTGCTCTGTCAACTCTAATTGTAATCCCACCCTTCATCTTTGCCTCAGTTTTTCTATCCATAAAAATGGAATTGGGTTGTTGATTCTTTCTACTTCTCTTTTTACTGGAAATTATGCCTTAGCTCCCTGGGGATCAGGTTCTTAAAAATCAATTAAGAGAATAAGCATTCTTAGCCTTCTGTTTTCATGAGCAAACATGGAAAAAATAAGATGTGCATTCCAGATGTACAGCCCCCGACTCTCACACATAGTTTTACTGGGAAAAACTGAGCACCAAAACCCGTTTCTCCCATGATCAAGGGAACCCAGAGATCTGGCTCAAAATGCCTGTGCTGCAAGTATCCTTCATCCCCTCTGTTCTGTGTACTGGAAGATCCTGGATGCTAGAGCTCCAAGGTGCTGACCTCCATTCTCAAGGCTTACCGGCAGCCTGCCTTTGCTTGTCAGGTCAGCGGGAGAGTAAATATCGCTCCAGTAGCTCTTGCTGCCAAGGCACCTGTCTCTTCCATGTAGATAAATTTGGGGGACTATCCTTGATTGGTCATTATGACAGATTTCTAGGTTTGGGTCTGGGGGCAAATTTTCAATACAGTCCAGGAATCCTTGAGTCTGTCCTGGGACCATCTGGACCGGAGAGCCTCAGCAATGCTGTAGCGCTTGTGGACTCATAGCAAGCCTGGGCCTAGGGCACTCTATTGCCAAGATGCGTGGGCCTAGGGTTCTCTACTGCCGAGATGGGTGCATCTGTCAAGGGCTCAAGGAACATAGCGATGGGTCTACTTAAATTTCTGGAAAATGTTCAGGCTCTACTGAAAAGACTATAGTAAATACATACGTTTTCAGTGTGCAGACACTACACGATGACCACAAGCATCAAGAACCTTTAGGAAAATCTGACTTCTGTAAAGGGTCACAAGTTGGATCAATTAAGTCTGATAAAATTACTGGATAAGATGTTATAATCAACTCTCAGTGGTCAAATATAAACAGAAAAAACAGGGAGAAAAGCCAATAACATATAAAAGAGTTCCAAGATGCTTTTCAAATACAAAGAAAACAGGGAATTGATTGCTATCTGCCCTACAAGAAATGCTAGAGAGAGCTCTAGAAAGTAGACACATGTAACAAGTATACATCAGAAGGTTGTTCACCTGCATAGGTAAAAGTAATATAGAGACCATTATAATCGCTTTAATATAGTCATGCTAAGTATGGACATATCTTTAAGCTCACAAAATTCTTTTATTTAATTAAAACAAAAAATACCTAATTTGTTAATGATAACCAAGGTAAAAATGTGCCATGTGACATAAAAATTCAAGATAGAATGGAATAGAGTTAAAATGTAGGGTTTTTATTTGTTTTCTTTGGGATTAAAGACAGACTGTTATTGAGAGATCCATGGTAATCCAAAAGCAAAATCCTGTAATCGAGACAATGAAAATAAAGGTCAAAGAACTACAAGATATCCCTTGAGAAAAACCACTTAACCACAAAGAAATGCAATGAGAGGATCAAAAGAAGAAAAATTTGCAAAAGCCAGGTGCCTGATGTGTGAGTCAGAGGGGAACTCTGGACTTTTGTGCCCCACTGGGGAGGGGGACGGGAGCATACCAGCTATTGCTCTGACATGTCAGAGAGTTTAGAACTTGCTGAGCCAATGCAGCATTCAATGTATCCCACATCAATACTAACAGCTTTACCACCAAAGTTCAAGAAAGGAGAAAACATTAGATCACCACATCTTATCTTTCTCACCTGTTGAATTATAGTTTTGTTCAAAGAACGGATCTTTAATCATTCTAACATATCACAATTCATGTTCTTGTCTTATTTTATTTTACTTTTCTTTTTTAAAAAATTACTGAATTTTTGTGGTTTTCATATGTTTTTTCAATGTATGGTTTAATTGAATTTTTGTCCGTTTAATATAATGCATCTTAATCATGTCTAGACTCTCCCTTATCTACACCCTCCATAGCCCACCCACTGAATTTCATTCATTCTGTCTTATATGGTAAGGCCTATCAAGGTAAAACTTTTTTCCCTCTATGTAGGAAACCAGGATGGCATGCTTTAAGGTGAGATGGATCTGAAAATTTAAGATCAGGCTACAATCCCTACTGAAGGAAGAGGCCCCGATGGCAGCTGTCAAATCCATGTCTTGCAGAACACTACAGGACTAGCAGGAGAAAAACAGCCAGGTCAAAAGTTTGAGCTCCTTGCTGTGAGGGAAAGAATCTTGGTCAACAGCCTTTAGTCCACCTCCTTGTTCTGAACAAATAACTCAGCTATCACTAGCTAAAAGACTAGGCAGAAAGGTTTACTCCTAAACTAAAAGCTGAAAGTTACTATGCTTTTTGTTCTAATAACGAAAACATTGTGGTCAATAAATTACCAGATAGGCACTGATAACCCTGAGTAAAAGTTCAAGCATCCTGCTTTACAAACAGCTCCTAGCTAGCACCAGCTAAAAGCTGTATGTACTGTTTCTCGTCTAATTGTGCCCTAAATCTTTGTATATAACTGCCAAGCCCCACATGACTGCCAGTTCCTTGTAATATATAAAAACCTTCAAAGTTTTTTAATAAATGGCTTGCTAACAGACCCACAAGTCCCAGGGTCTTCACCTTGTGCCTCTGAACCATCATCTCAGGGTGGAGTTTCCCATAGGATGGCCTCCACATCTCTCCCCATTTTCTATACTAAAAACTCCATGAAGACAGGGAGCTGTATTTTGTTCACTGATGCATTCTCAAAACCTGAGCTATGCCTGGAATAATAAATAAATATGCACTGGATAAAATACTCTAGAAAACGCCAACAGTTCTGGAATATCTCGGAGATCTTACAGTAGTTTTAATGACACCTGAACAAAGTATAGCCAATCAGAGGATTGCCTTGACCCCTTCCTACATCTGTCTAAGACAGAAGACCCCACGGAAAGAGACCCAAGCCCAGTCCAGTCAGTGTCTTACATGGGCGGGTAGGAGGTGGCATTCTTTACGAAGCTCCATGGCTCTGCAGGCTTTGGTGGAGCAAACCTCAGGGATCCAAGAGGAAGGCTGGCAAAGGGGACACCCAGGAAAATGGCCACAGGCTGTGTGAATCCTTTTAAGCTGATGTACTTCCCTAGGACTTTGCCATGCATGGTGTCTACCACAGGTGATAAGGATGGGTGTCCTATTGGACATGAAGGGGAGAAGGGGACATGAGAACACATCAAAGGGGAAATCTAGAGCTTGATTCCAGCTGTTTTACTGCTATTAATTATGTGACCTTGAATACATCACCTCAACCTTGTAGGCATCAGTTTCCTCTTATATAAAATTAGGGTGAAAAATGTTCTTTCTAATTCAGAGAGCTGCCAGGAGGAGGAAACTGGAACTGGAGGTAGAAAGCATCCAGCCCATGGAGGCTAGGGAGATAGCTTAGTTGATGAAAGGTTTGCTATGCAAACATAAGGACCTGAGTTCAGTCAATTACATAAAAAGCCAGTTGAAGTATTGCACACTTGTAAACCCAGCACTGGGGAGGTGGAGATATCTGGATTTCTAGAGTTTACTGGCCAGCCTGCTAGCCCCAGGTCCCAGTGAGAGACCTAGTCTCAGAAAACAAGATAGATGACTCCTGAGGAATTATGCCAAGGTTGACCTTTGGTTTCACATGTATATACACATATGTGCATATAGACCTATACACACATGACACCCCCAACACAAACACACACACACACACACACACACACACACACACACACACACACATACACATACACACACAGCATTCGGCTCAAATAACAAAAAAGCTTCCAATCAAGGTAAGTGCAGAATGAAGTGTTTCTGGGAATGAAAAACCTTCCCTTTTGGAAACCTCTGGAAGCATTTGTCCATTAGGATTAAGGTGTGTGCTGGGAGAGAGAATGAATAAGGCACCTAGTCTCAGAAGGGCTGACTTACACAGGAATGACCACAGACATGTTTGACCTAATGCCTAGATGAAAAAGTGTGAACCCTGGGGAAGGAATCAGAAAAAAGCTATAGGAACTGGGGAGTGACGCTGTCTGACTGTCACCATGAGGAAGTTAGGACTTGTAGCACAGGGATAAGCAAATAAGGGAAGATGGAAGGGACTTGCATAAAATAAACAAGCAATAAAGTTCAGTGGTTCAGAGATACCAAAATGCAAGTCCTGGCCAGGAAGGATGAGTGGCCTACAAATGCTACCAAATGGAGTCTGTGAGAAGTGGAAGAAGTCCTGGAATGAGCAGGTGCATGCCACGGGAGACACGAGCCGCCTAGCTATGGGACTGACATTTATTCTAGGACAAATAAGCAGCAGCAGCAGTTCTGGAGTCAAGACTATTCTCTGGTAGTTCTGAACAGGGTCATCCTGAAGGGAGAGAGGCTGGATATCAGGCTCCTGTCTGCCCCATGGGCTCCATCCTTATGGAGTAGACACTCATTCGTTTCCCCAAAGCTTCTCACCTGTCTTGGTTCTACCTGCTGTGGCACTAGAAGGAGCCAGCCTGACCTTCCTGAGGCTGGATAACTATCACACACTTGATCATGGCCATGGGTCATGTGCTCTGTATGGCTTAAGGGGACTCAGTGTCTCAGAGCAGTCGTCATCGAACACAATTCAAGGAGCATGTGTGTACTGAGACACTCCTGGGCGGTGGCGATATCAGTCAAGTTTTTCTTTATCCTTTCCAAGTTTTCTGCACTAGATATAGATCTCTTTGGAGAAATAGATAAATAATAGCATATAGAACAATTTAGAAGCCAGTGAGGTCCCTAGAGACCATAATGTGGGGGTCATGGAAGGGAAAGTAGACTGAAGAGTAGGTGAGACAGGTGCAGTTGGACATCAGTGAGATATTCGGCTAAGAATGTGTCATAGGAGGTGGGCATCTCAACTCTCCAAGGAGGTGCTGAGGACCAGGTAGAGTTAGTCACCTGCAGGTCATGCACCACCGATGTGCAGATGACTGCAGGAGACAGTGTGAGAGAAAAAGAAAGACTGAAAGTTAAAACACAAGGAGAGTCACCCCTAAGAGTAAGGACCTACACCAGAGTGGTAGAAGGAGATGGAAGGATGCGACACCGTGGGAATCCAGAGAGATTGGAGGAAGGGCAGGGAGTACCATCTCCCATGCATGGTTCTGATATCCTGGGCCCATCTGCCTTAATTTCCCAGAGTCAGGAACCAGGCAACTGAGGGCAATTTTTAGTTCCAAAGTACCTGGAATGATTTAAACTAGCCTCTGCTACCCGTGTTTCCCCTGCTTCATCCCTTCTTCCTTTGGAAACCCTCATAGCACCTCTTGCTCACAGCCTCTCTGCCTCAGCCTCCTAGTGACTTTGGTTCTTTTCCTTGTGCCTCCACTCAGTAGTGAGTCTTTCTCTGAAGAACCGAGTAACCAAATACCTTTTCCATGGCTACTGCCTGTTGATGTGTTGACTTGACAATATCTCAAATTTTCTACTTCGACGCTCCAGCTAAAATACCCACTCCTTTAAATCCATCCATTTTCTGTGCTTATAGACCACATACCATTCTAAATACTATAGAAACAACAGCCTATCTCATTCCCAGTAGTGCCAAATGAGGAAGGTACTATTGTCATCTTATTTTATAGATGGAGTGATGACCCAGGTACTACAAAGTTAGAGTCTTCCCAAAGACACACAGCTCAGAAGGGCTGAGCTAGGCTTCAGCCCTGTGCTCCTGCTCCTGATTTGATGCTTTTAATATTCTCTCTCTCCATATCATCTGGAGCTGCAGTAAGATCTGGGAGATAGCCTGGGGCTCTCTAATTTCCTCATGTTAAGGCATGAGCTTAGCTCATTGTCTTCATGACATAGCTGGGGTCTGAGGGTATTTTCCCTTCCCTGAATCCCTGTGATGGGTAGAGCTGACTGAGCTCTGGCGCTCCAAGTCCAAGTTGCTGTCCAGATGGTGAGTACTGTTGCAGAATGGAATCTGTCCTGTCTTCTCTTGTACGCATCTCCACCCACCTCATCCCAGATCCAGGAGCTTCAAATATGCCCCTGGGTATTTGCATTTCAGAAGGACTCACCAAAAGCCATGTAAGTGATGAGGGAAGCCAGGACCAGAGTGAAGAGCCACATGGTGGAAGGCCAGCAGCGTCAGGACCCTGTGCAGTGTTGTGATTCTCCGAAGGGCTTCTTATGTCCCACCTCTGATCATGAGGCCTTGTAACCACACCCACCCATGTGCAATCCATCTAATCATGAGGTGACAAGACTCTTTCCCTGTTCACAGAGCTCTGGGAGAGTCTGATGGGAACCAAAGCCAGACCCAGCCTAAGTTCAAGCTCTTAAAGCTAGAGTCTGGACTCAACTCTCAGATTACCAATGATCACAAACTGGACCAACATCTTCTTATAGAAAGGTATTCCCTGTAGCACTCTAATCTCAGTGCACCTTGAGCGTCACAAAGGGAGGAACAGCAAGTGGACACGTTCAGGCAAGGCAAACCTTTGGTCTGAGATCCTCAGAAAAGGCTGGACAGTTTTAAAGCTATACACAGTACTGCTCAGCTGGAAATTTAGGCCGTATTTCTCAACTGGTCTGGTATTACATAGAGTCCTGTGAGCTCAAGTTTGGAAGTGTAGTTAACTTTTCATTCCTAAGACTTGTACAACATTCCTGACAAGAGGTTCAGCCTTCGACTGCAGACCTGTTTTCTTTTGAGGCAGGTTCTCACATCTCCCAGGCTGGTCTTCAGCTCTCTCTGTAGCTTAAGGATGACCTTGAACTTCTGATTCTCCTGTGTCCACCTCCTGGATCCTGAGATTACAAGTGTGGGCTACTGCTCCAGAGCAGCTCAGGAGCCTTGGAAGGAAGCACATTACTTTGTTATAGTGCTGCCCTCTGCTGGATGTGGAGAAATCCCCAGATGAACACGTGTTTTTTGCCCAAGTTTTGCTTTGGTTTGATGTAATGAGGAGGAAGGGGGTGAACCTTGTTTAAAAAAATAAAAGTAAATTTCTACAAGGATGGAAATGTGGAGGGATTTTGAAATATGACATGCTCTTGCTTGAAGTGAGGAGGTTCTTTAGGAAAGTTTCCTTGTAGGAAGTGACTGAAGGAGAGCTTGGCTTTGGGTACACACCATCTTCTGAAAAAGTGGATGCCATAAATGATATTGAAAGGTAAAAGTGCTAATTACTAAAGTTGTTCATTAAATCATGTCCAACATCAAGACAGTAAAACAGGTTGACTTGGAGAGTCTCTAAACATTTAGGAAACTGATCGACTCTGTTCAGATAGGTTTTTAAATTTTTTATTTTATTTTATTTTTTGGTCTTTTGAGACAGGGTCCCCCTGTAGTCCCAGCTGGCCTGGAACTCACTATGTAGACCAGGTTGGCCTTGAACTCACAGAGATCTGCCTGCCTCTGCCTCCCAAATGCTGGGACTAAAGGCATGAGCCACCACACCCAGCTTCAGATAGTTTTTAATCAGAAGTTTGCATCAGAAGGCCTGAAAAACTTTAAAAAATGGCTATCCAGGTCCCACTCAGGAAGATTCCAGATAGTGGTCTGGCCAATGGAATCTTGGGAAAGACCCCAAGTAATTCTTCAACTTTCGTCCAATAGAAAAAAATATTGAATGAAATGAGAAAACAAACAAAAAAACTAGATGGCAAGTGTTGTTTATATGACAACTTTAATTGTAAGCATTTAACAAAATGTGGGCAGGAGAATAAAGGAAAAGATCCCTCTATCTGGGCACCTAGTAAGACACCTGTCAAAAAGTGAAGCCTATTCACGAACTCTGGGACTGTGCGTAATATCCACGTGGCGACTGCAGCGGCCATGGTCTGTCCAGCTTGCCTGCATATGGATTGCTTCCCTTCCTAGGGTCACAAAACAGTCCCTGAGCATTTTCAGTGGGAGCAGGTTCGTACAAGGCACACCTTCCTCTCCTTGGAGGAACTCTGACCTTTGCTTTCTACCCCTCCTACTGCTCCGCAGTGGAGCTGACCTCATTCTTCTGCTAGAATCCTGCTGCCCCGCACCTGCAGTGGCTGGTCCTATGGTGTATCTGGTCTCTGCTCCCCGTGGCCTTGCCAGTGTTTCCCGAAATGTCTTCCTTGGAAAAACTACTACACTTACATCTGCTTTGGACCTGATTTGGGGGAGACCAAACCAGACATCAGGCAGCACCTGAGTGATGCTGTGGTTGGTTGTCTACACCACACACACACACACACACACACACACACACACACACACACACTGAGGACTGCCATGCTTTCTTGGTGAATTGACCATGTTTTTGCTCTGTGCTGTCACCTGTTTTCTTTTTAAGTTTCATTAATCTAACATTCATGTAACCACCAGGCTTTCCTTTTAGAATCTACTTGGACTATCTTTTTCCTACTTCTGGCCTACTTCTTGCTCTGTCCTTCCTTTACAGTGTGTCTCCACTGAAAGTGGATACCAATGATGCCACACCTCCCTGAAGAGTGTGCAGTTTTCGAACATGCAGTGTTGAGGTCTTGGTGGGGCTGGGGACACAGGATAGGCCTTTCAATCAGGAAGGAAAGGCCACTGGCTTAGGGTTTTTATGTGATTAGGGGTAGGACCAGGGTGAGCTTTATGAGACTTAGCTCTTACACAGGCACCAAGGGAGGAAGTTCCCAAGTTTTCTAATCAGCTTCTCCAGATAAGGAGCAAGAAGGGAAGGTGATTGGGCAAGGCTTAAAAGCTATCAGCTTTTAAGGTCTGAAAGTGGAATCAGGCTCCACATTACACAGTACGTAATTGGGTTTTGCTTTCTAAATCCAGTCTGACAATCTCTTCTAACCAACGTGTTTAGGGCATTTTATTTAGTGGAATTATTCACAGATTGGATTAAGCTGATTTCTTTTGTTTGTGTTCATTTATTCCTTCCTCCACTTTTCCTATCAGCTTGCTTTGAGCATGAAGACGTTGTGTGATATCATTTTATCTCTACAATTGCATTATTATGTAGCCATCTTTAAAAGAAGAATCTAACATTCAGCACTGCAAAATAAAATAAAAATTCTTCAGTGGTTGCCTTGGGTATACAATACCCCACTTGAGGGGACATTACATATTGTATTTCAAATAATATACTATCAACTACGTGGTTAGAAAATTGAAAATTACTACAAATTATTCTCTCCCATCTTTGCACTGTTTTTTTTTTTTCATATGTTTTACGTGCCTGTTCACCTGCTCTTCAAAGAAGTCTCTTCTCATACTTTCCACCAGAAGTAGACTTCTGGTAGTTGGCACTTGGTATCTGTTAACTCAGTGGTAGTACCTGGGAGAAGTCTCTCTAGTCCTGATCTACTCTCAACCTTAGGGAGACCCTGTGTTCTCAACCTTGAGGTTGAGATCTTTTCAGTGATCCTGCCTGTCCCCAACAATAAAAGATCTCTAATAACCTGTACTCAGGACTGTTTCCTACAACCACGAAGGATGTCACAACTCTCTTTCTCCTCAGCCTTGAGCGATCATCACCAGAGCTCTGAGGGAAAGAAGCTTTGTTGTTCTCTCTGCACTGCTTGTAAGATTTTGCTCCTTAATTTAAAGGGGTTTGTGCAATTCTTTTTGCCTTGGTCCCTAGAGACAAGCTTTGAGTAGATTTGCTGCCTGGCCTTAGTTTTACTCATGAACATCTCTTCTCCGTCAATGGAGAAGAGTCTGATGGGTGCAAACTCTCCCCTTGGGTCTGTGTTCCCAGAGGTTTTATATCCCCATAGTGCCCGTTAGACTCCAGTAACTCATTAAAGTCATTCTCCACACAAGTATAATGATGTCGATGTCTCCCACCAGAAATGGAAGGTAAGGCAATAATCACATCCCATAGCTCCCCCAGTGTGCCTGCCTTCAGATTCCAGTGATCATCACACCCCCCAAGCCTGTCCCTGTGAGATATCTTCCTATGATGGTGTCTCTCTTCTCCCCCCGCCCCCCGTGCCCGAAGAGGATGGATTCATCTTTAGCCCAAGACACAGTTCCTGATTTTATTTCCATATGAAAATTTATTCTCCAAATTGAGGTGTAGACAGCCCTCCTCATTTTCTGCTCACCCCCACTACACAGTTCTGCAGTCTTCTTAGGAAGGCCTTTGGTTAACCAAAGTGGAAAAGTCCCATCTTGTCTCCTCTGGTCTCCCAAGGCTGATAGAGCCCCCCATTCACAGCTCAGTGTGTTCTGTCTGAAGAGGTTTCTTGGCCAAGAGTTCAGTCCAGAAATCCACTTCTTCCCCTTTAAGCCGCTGGGCCTGCTGGGTGGTTGTGCCGATCTGCAAGTAGCTTTCTTTCTGGTCATACTCTGGCCAGTGTGGCAAGCCCTTCCCATTAGGGTTCCTGAGAACAGAATCAAATTGAATTCCTCACAACTGTTATAGACTGCCCATTTTTCTGAGGTTTGAATGAATCTTGAGTTTATCTCAGTCAAGAGGCCATACAGGTTTCTGTCTCCTGGGGTAGCCCATTCATTTCTAGAAAGATCTCCCTATTAGAGCACTGTTATCATGTAAATGGCCAGGATTTGATCACTCAGACTTCAGAAATCACTTTTTCCCAATAGGGATTTCCCTCTATACCCTATCCACCACTCTGACTTTGACATCAGCCTCACCCATTCCGAGCAAAGTTGGCCCAGAATTTCATCACCATCTTGCTGAGGTTAATCTCCTCTTGCGAGGCACCATCTGTGGGGAAGAGGGGAAAATGTTTTGATATTTGAAGTATAGACCAGCAGTAGCATCTCTTAGGAATTTGTTAGAAAGGAAGAACTGGGTGTTCACTCTTTATCCACTGAGTAAAAGTCTTCAGTGTGAGAGGACCCTGGCTATTTATTCTGCGTGTTCGGGAGGGACTCAGAAGTGGGAGTGAGTGCATCTATGGGCTGGCATCCTTTGTATTTCATACTCATCTGCCTTCCCCCACTTCCTCAGGGTCAAAATTCCATACTCTCTGTTTGGAGAATTGCTCCCGAGTCTTTTCTCAGTCTCTTACACACACTGGTGTTGTCACTAGACTCTAAAATATTAGAACTACTAAGGGCTAAAGCGTAGCCTAGCTGGGAGACGCCTAGAGAAACTCGTGTGTCATCAGCAGCCATGGGTCATGAGCCATATCCAAGCACTGAGACTTCAGGTGCTGAATACATTTGTGAAACGCTTTCTTCAAATATCATTTTATTAAATGTTATAAGTAAAATATAGGATTTATTTAAATATATAAGTAGGTGAACAGAGATCATGTAACACTCAATTCAAAGTCTGTAACGATTATAACCTTCCTTTCACTCATGTTCTGATATGTCCTTCTCAGTGGGAAATCAAAGAGTGGTGTTCTGGTCTTAGACTAGGGCTATGTAGGTGACCCATCATCTCACAGCTCATGATTCTGAGAGTGACTATGGCTGGAGACACAAGAACAGGCATCTTCATGTATGCTACGACAAGAGAAAGGCTGTCAATGCCCAATACAGCTCAGGAGAGAAGGAGAAATCTGCGGAAAGAACTAGAGCCCAGTCCTCATAACTCACAGCCCACATGGCAAAGAGACGCTAATCACCTTTTAAAAACGGGGCCCCAAATACGGAGAAGATCTCGTCGCCATGGTCTCCTATCACTGTCTTGGGTCTCATGTCTGATGCGAAGCTTGGACGATACTGAAACTCATACATGTAGGTTGGGACCCCTGCACCTGAAGAGACATAGATTCACATGCAGTTCATGTTACCAAACACAGCTTGATGGTATCAACCTGCCCTGAATGAAACTGCTGATTACTAGTACAGGATAGAAACAGTTTCAGGAAAGCCCAGTGACTTGCTAACCAGTAGAAAAGGAACTGTGACTTGAACCAGGTGTTTACAGAATAAAGAATGAGAGGATGGAGTGCATGTCGTGTGCACTGGCTGTGTTTCAGTCATGACACTTGGTGCTCATTCATTCTGAGCAGATTCACAACCCATTAGGTGTCTTATAGTTATCCAGATTTTGAGTATCCCCAATATTTTCCTCCACCACTCAGAAAGAGTGAACACGAGAAGATTTAAATGCAACACATAGAAACATAAGCAAAGACATAAATCTGTCTTTGAGTTTAACGTAATCACAAAACTGGGAGTTCATATTTCATTTACCCTCACACATCCTGTTTTCTGTTTAGCCCAGGAGTGTTAAGGTCTTAAGATAATAGAGTGCCATGGAACAGAAACAGGGCAAGGGAATCTGATATGCCCTTCTCAGTGGGAAGTCAAATAGTGGTTTCTAGCCTTAGAACAGGGTCCTAATGCTGATGTCATTGTTCACACTTCTGAGAGTGAATGTGGTTGG